CCACCTCCTGGGTTCAAGTGATTCTCCTGCTTCAGTCTCCCAAGTAGCTGGGATTACAGGCATGTACCACCATGCCCGGCTAATTGTGTATGTGTGTATATATATGTATATATATATATATATATATATATATACACATATATATATATATATATACACACACAATTAGCCGGGCATGGTGGTACATGTATACATACACATGCGCACACACACACACACACACACAAACACACACACATATATATACATTTTTTTTTTACCAGAAATGGCGTTTCGCCACGTTGGTAGGCTGGTCTCGAACTCCTGACCTCAAGTGATCCACCAACCTCAGTCTCCCAAAGTGCTGGGATTACAGACGTGAGCCACGGCATCTGGTCTCCAAGGGTTTTTAGGAGTTCTGTGCCAGGAACTGGACAGAGACCATGTCTGTTTCTTATCATAAATCACAATGCCACAATGATAAAAAAAAAAAGTATATAACAATAAAAGGTGACATGTAATATGTGCCTGATGAGTGTTTCTGTAAAGGGTTAGCCCAGGAGGACGTGGTTACCCATACCCTGCATATTCCAAGGGTCTTCAGGACTGGCCCTCACTGGTTCCTGGGGTATGCATCCAGGCCCTTGAGTGTCCTACCTGATGAGAGTGTCTTTGTGGCCTGAGACCTTGGGATACATCATATTAGTTTCACTTCTTGGGGCTGGAGACTGAGTAGCTAAGGAACATTATATGGGTACTGCATGACTATGTAATTGATCCCCAATGAAAACTCTGGACACCAAGGCTTAGGGGGGCCTTCCCTGGTTGGCAGCACTTCACGTGTTGTCACACACTGGTGCTGAGAGAATTAAGTGCTGCCCAACCAAGGTCACACAGCTGGCAAGAGGCACCAGTGGCATCCATGTGCTTGGCACCCTGACCCCTGCTATGGCACTGCCTTCCCCATCCAGGCGGCCCCCCAGTACCCCTTCGTTTCCATCTCCAGGGGACAGGCTCTGCCCTGAGGAAATGTTATATCCCCCAGGGCAGGGCCCCAAGGAAGCCAAGAGCTCTCGGAGTTGGGGCGTGCTAGGATTAGCCCACTGGACCACCTTGCCCAGAGCAAAGAGCGGTGGAACTGTGTATCCACCAGCAGTGTCCTCAGTGAGGGTAAAAAACTTGGCACAGTGGGGCTGGCACAACCCAGGAAATGAAGGAACAGGCAGGAGGGAGGGGCGGGTCCACAGCCTTTCTTACTTGGAGGAATCCCTATGAAAGGACAAGCTGGCAGGGCACGGTTGTTCATGCCGCTAATCCCAGCACTTGGGGAGGTCGAGGCAGGTGGATCACCTGAGGTCAGGAGTTCAAGACCAGCCTGGCCAACATGGCAAAACCCCATTTCTACTAAAAAAATAAAAATAAAAAAAAATAAAAATAAATTAGCCGGGCTTGGTGGAGCAGCTACTCAGGAGGCTGAGGCTGGAGAATCACTTAATTCGGGAGGCGGAGGTTGCAGTGAGCTGAGATAGTGCCACTGCACTCTAACCTGGGCGACAGAGCAACTCTGTGTCAAAAAAAAAGAAAAAAAAAGCGTCTGGCAGTTCCAGGGTTCTCTCCACAGGGCACACTGGGATTCCAGAGGGTTCCAGAGGATGCTGGGGACTTATGTCCCGGTTGGGCGCTCGAGCCCAGCAGTTTGTGGGTGCAGCACTGGCCTTCCCCAGTGTTCTTGGGCTGGTGAGGTCTTCACTCCCTGAACACTCCCTTAGACAGCTCCCTAAGTCAGCTGCCTTTGCTCACACAGGGCCTGGCACTCAGAACAACAAATACAGCGCCCTGAGTTGGGGCGGGCCTCCCACGGCTGCCTGGGCCATCCCCTCTTTGAGACACATTCAGCACATCACGGAGTTCCTGTAAAACTGATCCCACGCCACAGCATTGAAGCTGTCATGGGGACATGGAGAAGTGGATTTACCCCATACAGGAAATGGAGTAAGTTCCCACTAGACCTCCCTGATCCACCAGTGGCCTCATTTTCCTCCTCTTCCTCTTGCTTGTTGCTGTTATAACCTCTCAAATCTCTTAATGGCCTTGAGCAGATCAGCTCAGACCCCAAGCTTCTACCCTCCCTTTAGGACCATGCTGCCTTTAGAAGGCAGTTTGGAGAGCATGCCCTCTGGGGGTGTCACTTCCTGGGATACACAGCTCAGCGGCTTATTTAATATTCCTCCAACGAAAGTGGATTTCCTTGGTTGGTAGGAGTATATTCTGTGCTCAAGAAAAATTAGCTTTTCTCCATTTTATTACAATGAAAAAGGATAGCCTGGTGGTTAGGAGACTGCGCTTTGGCGTGAAACATCTGCGTTCACATCTGTGTTCTGCATTGATCTGTGGAATCTTGGGCAAGTTCTCTATTCTCCCTAAGGCTCTGTTTTCTCTTCTGCAAGATGGAGATAAAAATCCCTACTTTTAGGCCAGGCATGGTGGCTCATACCTGTAATCCTAGCACTGTGGGAGGCCAAAGCAGGTGGATCACCTAAGGTCAGGAGTTCGAGAACAGCCTGGCCAACATGGGAAACCCCATTTCCGCTAAAAATACAAAAATTAGCTGGGCATGGGGGTGGGTGCCTGTAATCCCAGGTACTCATGAGGCAGGAGAATTGCCTGAACCTGGGAGGCAGAGGCTGCAGTGAGCCAAGACCGCACTTCAACCTGGGTGATGAAGGAAGACTCCATTTCAAAAAAATAATAATAATTTAAAAATCCCTACTTTTATGGGTTGTGGTGAGGATGAATAAGATCATTTGTGTAAAGAGCTTGGCACTGCTGGGCACGGTGGGTCACTCCTATAATACCAGCACTTTGGGAGGCTGAGGCAGGCTGATCACTTAAGGTTAGGAGTTTGAGACAAGCTTGGCCAACATGGTGAAACCCCATCTCTAAAAATACAAAAATTAGTTGGGTGTGGTGGTGCATGCCTATAATCTGAGCTACTCGGGAGGCTGAGGCAGGCAGGAGAATTTCTTGAACCTGGGAGGTAGAGGTTGCAGTGAGCCGAGATCGTGCCACGGCACTCCAGCAGGGGAAACAGAGCGAGACC